GACATGGGGACAGGGGACACGGGACATGGGGACACGGGACATGGGGACACGGGACATGGGGACACGGGGACACCGCCGGGGGGACACGGGACATGGGGACATGGGGACACGGGACATGGGGACACGGGGACAGGGGACACGGGACATGGGGACACCACCGGGGGGACAGGGGGACTCCGCCAGGGGGACGTGGTGGCACGGAGAATGTCGGGGACACCCTCACGGGGACGAGGGGACACGGGGGACATTGCGCCGAGGCCACGGAGGGTGCGGGGACACCGCGGGGGACACGGGGACACCGGCACGGGGACACAGACGGGGAACGTGGGGACACCCCAAGGCGGGGACAGTGGGGACACCCCAAGGAGGGGACACCCTAAGGAGGTGACAGTGGGGACACCCCAAGGATGTGACGTTGGAGACACCCCAAGGAGGGGACACTGGGGACACCCCAAGGCGGGGACACCGGGGACACCCTCAGGGAAGAGGCGGCGGCCGCACTGGGGACGGGGGATCCCCGCTGGCCCCGGTTCCCCCGTTCCCGCGGGGCCGGAGGGAGCCGGGAGGGCCGGGGGAGCCCGGACCCCCCCCCCGCCCCGCCCGGCCCCCCCGGGAGCCGCGGGCGACCGGGCCGGCCGAACCTTTGCCCATATATAGCCCCGGGCCGGGGCCGCCGCCGCCCGCCCGCCGCGCTCCGCCGCCTTATAAGGGCTCACGGCGGGGCCGGGGGCCGCCGGGCCCCCCCCGGGCCGCCGATCCCCCCCCGTTAACCCTTAACGGGCCGGTGCGCGGCGGGACCCCCCCCCCGCCGTGTCCATCCCCCCGCCGTGTCCGGCATCTCCCGCCCGCCGCGGGGCCCCCCCGGGCCACCCGAACCGCCCCCGTTAACCCTTAACGGGGCGGACACCGGCGGGACGCCACCCGGTGCTCGTGGGGGGCGTCCCGGGGTCCGCCCGCTCCGTTCCGGTGTCGCCCCGTGGCCTCCTCAGTCCCGGTGGGGGTTCCGGTGTCGCCGCCGCTTCAGCTCGGTGACCGTCACCTCCCGCCCGCCGCGGGCTCGGGGGTCGGCGGCGCCCCCCCGGTCCGCCGAACCCCCTCCGGGTTAACCCTTAACGGGCCGCACACCGGCGGGAGCCCCCGGTGCTCCCCGGTGCCGCCGTCCCCGTACCCCGTCCCGGGGCGCACCCGGTGCCCGTCACCTCCCGCCCGCCGAGGGGACCGGGGGCTGCGGAGACCAACCCCCCCCGCTCCCGCTTAACCCTGAACGGCCCGGTGCCCGGCAGGACCCCCCGGTGCTCACGGCGGGACCCCCCGGTGCTCACGGCGGGGAGCCCCGGTGTCGCCCCCTCCCCTCCCTCACCCCCGCCGGGCACCCGGTGCCGGTCACCTCCCGCTTCCCGGAGGGAACGGGGAGTGCGGAGCTCCCCGGGCAGCCCAGCCGCACCCCCGGTGAACCGGCGCTCGGTACGACCCCCGGGGGGGACACGCCGGTGCCGCCCCCCTGTCCCGGTGTCCGTCCCTTCCCTCCCGGGGCAGCACCAGGGACAGCGCCGGGTCCCGCCCCCGCTCCCGCCGGGTCCTGCCGCGACCCCTGCCCGGGCCCGGTGCTGCCGCCGCCCCGGGGGGGTCGCACCTGCCCGGAGCCGCCCGGACCCCCCCGGTTCGGCTCGGTTCGGTTCGGTTCGGTGCCGCTCACCTTGTTCTTCACCTCGGCCGAGAGCCCGTAGGCCGGGCCGCGGTTGAAGTGCGCGTTGGACATTTCGGGGGTCCCGGGGGGGGTCTCGGTGGCTCCGGTGGGGTCGCGGCGGGCGGGTGGCGCCGGTTCGGGGCTGTCCCGGGTGGGTTCGGGGCTGTCCCGGGTGGGGTCGGTGCCCTCGGGTCGGCTCGGTGCCCTCGGTCGGTTCCTCCCGGTCCCGTCCCGGCGCCGCCGCCACTTTTAAAAGTGGGCGGTGGGCGCGGAGCCCCCCCGGGCCGGGGCGGCCGCAGCCAATCCGCGGCCTCCGCCGCGCTGACGTCACGGCGGGGCGGGTGATGGCGTCACTTTTTCCACATTTACCGGGGGGGATCCCGGAGCTGGGGGGGGGGGCCCGGGGGGGCGGGGGAATCCCGGAACGCCCCCCCCGCCCCAAATCAGCGCTTGCCCGCTCTGCCCCCTCCCACCGGACACCCGTGTCCCCCCCGGTCCCACCGGAGCGGGGACCCCCGGGGGGCACCGGGGCTCCCCCACGGTGCCTGGGGATCCCCCCCGGGGCACCGGGGGCCTCTTCCCCGCTCACCGGGACCCCCCCGGTGCCGCGGGACCCCCGGGACAGCGCGGCCCGACCCCGCCGCGCCCCCCCCCCCGCTCGGTGCCGTCACCGGATCGGACTCCGCCGCCCCCCCGGGGGAGGACACGGCTCGTCACGGGTGGGGAATGTCCCCCTCCCCCTCCCCCTCCCCTCCCCACGGCTCGTCACGGGTGGGGAATGTCCCCCTCCCCCTCCCCCTC